CCCCCCCCCCTCTCTCTCTCTCTCTCTCTCGCTGCAATCCATGACAAATGTGTGTATCTCTGTCGTGTCTGGCGGTGCCAGCCTCCAGACACGGGCGAGAGGGCCACCATGTGTGCGAGCAGGAGGGAGATAGTGGGCAGGAGGAGTTGTCTGCAGTGGCTCCGCCGGGCTCTCCGCCAGGCTCTCCGCCAGGCTTCCGCGTATCTCTGACGTGCGTTTGGTGCGCTCGATCTGCGCCGCTCTGGCCGTCTGCTTGCTGCATACAGTACTCTGACTTTTGCTTTGGTGTGTGTTTTCCAGAGGCGCGCCAGCTGAGACCGTAGGCTGAAGGCTGCGCAGTTCCGTCGCAGTGACAGCCTTCTACTCCGCAACTATCAGGTATGTGCCTCACACAGCACACATACATGCACAAACACACACACTCTTCTTGTAGTCTCGTACTACGACGCCCTCGCCTTGTGTTCGCCTCCCTCAGCCCCTTTCTTGGTCGCCCCGTCGTCAGTCTAATAATGACTACAGTCGCGCTTAATTCCCCTTAATCTGGCCGATATAATTATGGCAAACTATCCTCGTCGCTCCCTCCGGCCCTTTCCATCGTCTTCCTTTCACTCCCCCACCACCCCCTCTCCCCTCACCCCTCAGCGAAGTCCTTGCTTCTGCTGAACCCGGGCGGGGGTGTAAGTACCCACCCTTCCTTAGCGATCCGAAGGCGACGACCCTTCGACAAAGGAAACTTTTTGTGTATTTTCAACATCAAAGAAAAAACTAACGACACAGCCGGGGCTAAAAAAATGGGCATATTTTTGAAATGTGGTCATCCTCATATGACGCATTTTTCTTTTCAACTCACCCCCTTTCTTCCTCTCCGCCTCTCTCTCTCTCTCTCTCTCTCTCTCTCTCTCTCTCTCTCTATCTCTCTCACTTCCTCCCTCACAACTTTGTGGCGCCGTGCCGAGTGGGTGTGATTGTCAATACGGAGGCCTAAATTAGCATCACATTCCCGGTCCTCCCCCCTCCCTCCCCCTTTCACGCCCTCGGTCCATCTCCTTCGCTTGGCGTTGATTTACGAAGGAGTTTGTTCGTGCATTATCATTCCACACTTGTCCCCACTCCTCTCTCTCTCTCTCTCTCTCTCTCTCTCTCTCTCTCTCTCTCTCTCTCTCCATTCACACACACTCACACACTTCGACCTTGTCTCCCAAGATTAGCCCGCGCCCACCACCAGGGCGGCTCGCGCTACGAGGAAGTTAATGCCAGTCACGGAGGCGCATTGTTCGTAAGTGCGCCGCATCGTGTACGTATCCTACCGACGTTGCCCTGTTGTTGTTGTAGTTGTTGCTGTCGGGATCCAAGTCAGTCGCCCCTTCAGGACCGAGTCGATATGCTCGGTCTGTCTCTCTCGCACCCTCAGTCAGTCTGCCGCCCCAGTCGTGCAAGTGCATCTCTCTCTCTCTCTCTCTCTCTCTCTCTCTCTCTCTCTCTCCCTCCCTCTCCCTCTCCCTCCCTCTCCCTCTCCCTCTCCCTTGCACCCCTAACCCCCGCGTACTTCTGGTCCTACCCCCCAAACCCCTTCTGCCGGACCCCAAATGAATGGCGACAAGACATCTGTCGCCGCGAGGTTGACGACGACGATGACGACTTCGGTGGCATCGTCGTCCCGGCGGTGTCCGCTGTGGACGACGGCGAGGGTCACCCGGGAGCCGCCCCCCTCCGACCTCTGCGGCGGCCCGGCTGGACGTAATGCTGGCCATCAGAGTAATGCTGGCGAGGGCCAGGGGAGGGTGGTAATGGGGTGATTAGTGTGCACATGTGCCTCCCGGGGCCCGCCCCCGCGCAGCCCCCGCGCCGCCCCCAAGGCCACCATCAAGGCGGAATCACTCATCAGGAGGCGACTTGTGTCGTGGTGCGGCGCGCTTGACCCACATCTTGGGAGATTCTCCGGCCGCGGTATGTAGTGGCGCTGTGGAGAAATGAATGAAAATTAATTAAAGGGACCTTGTCTGGATTCAGTTTGCCGATCGTCGGAGGTGTTGGGGCGTAACCAGGCGGGTCTTATGCGTCCACGTGCCTCATGCCTCTCGGGAGCTTCCACCGTGTGTAGCCACCTACTCCTCCTGTAGATCGTCGTTTGGGTCGCCGTCGTCACCTTGGCGCGGGGGGCACGACCCCGACGACGGCGACCTGGGCGTGGCCAGGTGTTTACTGGCCGACCTCTCGACGCCTCAGGTAGCGCAAGGATAGAGGGGTGGAGGGGGGCGGTGCGCTAACTGCGTGCGCGCGGCTTAGGCCCTTTGTGACCGCCCCGCCCCAC